TAGCAGATTTTGCTAAAAGTAAAGTTGTTAACGTCTGCACTTATTCGCACCTTATTTGCGTTTTTCTCATCTATTGTGTTCGAAGTTGCCGCTCGTACACTTTAGACACGACAAAAAAGGAAAGAGATTTCAAAGGGACCATCATCTGTATTTTCGGTCGATTTTGAGTTCATGCTCTTTGGAATATCTGGAACATGATCAGATTGCACGTTAGTAGTGATAAATATTCACAATACATCCTCGCTCCAAATATAGAAATTTCGCATATTAGATCCAGTAGGAAAGGAGTTACGACTGAAAAGTACGGCTTGAGAACCATTCCACCGAAGACTTTTGAGCGCTACTGTACATACATACAAACAGACACATCATTTTCCAACTCGCTACCCCGCTCTTACTCTTGAGCAGATTTATGGAATTTTGATCTTAGCCCCTCCCATCTTAGCGCAAAACCCAAATATTTTAGAGATTTGACCACATATCTTCTGCCGCCTCCAACCACCTCTTTTCCGCGTTCTAAAATGTATTCTAACAGTTTTATATACAGTTTTAAAAAACACTTTCTACTTGAATGGATTAAATGAATGAATTTTCTATTATACTTGAGAGCGCTCCGCCCATTGTAGGTGGAGCTTCGCAAAGATACGCATGCCCAGCACGTATTAGATCTTTGCCACCCTCTTTGCTATTTTTCTGGCATAGAAAACTGGGCGAAGTAGCTGCTCAAAACGTGTAACGATTTGAATGGTATTTGATTTGTATTTCGTGGACCCCTCGAGGTCGTGTGGCACTTGCTGAAAGGGCTTACCTAAAACTGAAAGTCGATAAAGTACAGCACATCCAGCATTTTGTTTTTTTGGAACTACCATTGCTTTTTGTTACTTGCGATCTTCACCATTCAATTCCTTGTGTGCTATAACCTGCGACCACTTTCTCTAAAAAAACGTAGTAGCTGCTAACACGACTTTTTATTAAAAAATTTTTCCTTTGTTTCAAAAGTATGTGCACACGTAGCGAAAAACAAAAATAAAACTGACATCCTGACTGAAAAACTGACAGATCAGAAATCAATAAGGTATCCTCAATTCCTGTGAAGGTTATTGACTACGAGCAGTCGTTTGAGAGTGGTTTCGTTATGACAGGTTCTTTAGTTACCATTGTTGAAAAATTTTGAGTGTGCACATGCCTTTGTAACGGCGACTGGGCCGCTCTTTTTCGTGCACTGCTAGATTCATTCGAGACCCTTGCAGATATCGCTCACAACCTATTCCTGGCCGTCCACGTATTTTGACTGCTCAGGACAGCAGGAGAATAGCCCGTCTTGTAGCGAATACATCTTTGTCTGTGAGTCAGATCCGAGATCAGATGGGTTTATTCTATCTTTATTAAAGTGTACTGGTAATTGTGAGTTACGTACCTGAGTAGGTGTACACTTGGAATATTGCGACCATATCTAACCAGGACTTATTTCAGCAGCTGTCAATAATTTCATCAAGAGTCCTAAAGCCTATGGAACCAGAAGAAGTGCTGAACGTCCTTCACTGCTGTTGGACAGAGACAAGCTCTGTATTTTGAGGGAAGCGTTGAACTCCACCAAGTCTTGTATGGAAATATCGTCTCTGTCTCAAAAAATCACTGTTTGGAAGGAGATCAGAAGGTTTAAGTCCATCGTAAAGCGAAAAATGCATAAGGCGCCTTTTATGACGAAAAGACATCGAGAAAATCGGGTCGCTTTCGCCAGAAGGAGCGGCCGAACCGAGTGGAATAAAGTGTTCCTCATGTACTGACATTTGACCTTCCTTCTCTTGATGGTTCTTGATCTTCAGTTCGTTTTTCCTGTTGGGAAAAAGTTCACTTCTGATGGTCCAGACGGGAACCGATTTTACTAGCACGACCTGAGGTAGGAAAAAACTTCAGTTTTCTAGACTGAAATTCAAGGAAGCAGAAGTTATGCTTTGGACCGTGATTTCATCGATTAGGCTTATCCTTTTACCAAATTTTGTACCAAAGAGAATAAACTCGTGCTTTTCTTGAACTGTTATACTTTGTACACTTCTCCCTCTGGTGTCAGAATCGGCACCAAAATCATGTTTTTATGCAAGATAACACCCTAATTTACGTCAGCAGGAGCACTCAAACTCTGTTATCTCGGCGTCGGATTGCACTTCTGCCCTGGCCGGTGAACATCCTCGATTTGAATTCAATGGAAAATGTATAGGGCTTCATGGGTCGGAAGACTTACGTCCAAAGCAAACAGTTCTGAGGCGTTAAGGAGTTGAAAAAAAAGATCATCGAAGCATGGCACCAAGTTGACCAGGAGCTGATTGATAGTTTTTATTTGAGCCTGGACCACTGTGCTTCCAAAGTGCTTCGAAGAATGGTGAACCAACTGATTATTGACTTTGCAACATTCTCTCCTTGTTGTATGTTTGTTGTTAAATAAAAAAATTTCGCTAGTGGCTGTATCATTTTGAGACGTTGGAGTGGCACACTTTACTGAGAAATTGACCAAAAAAACGTTCGTGTTCTCGAGCTGCAATTTGGTGATTATGTATGAATTGAAATTTAGATTGACTCATTTTTTACTTAGGCCTTTTGTCAGAAACATTGCATACTGTGAGTTTTTGGGAAAATCAGAGGTGGCTGTATCATTTGGAGACGCACTGCATTTAAATGCAGAGAAGTAGTGCTTCAAAACAAATGTTATAAATCAGAATCGGCACTCTTCTTCAAGTTCATCAAAAACACAAAACGACAAAGTGCACAATTACGGCAATTTTTCGGGGAATTCACAAAAAAACACAAAAGATAGTGAATAGGGTAACTGCATTTCTCCAGTACAGCAAAACAGAATACCCATAACAACAACATCGTCCATAGCAAACTCCGCAAACTCCAGGACCACATTCATTATCTACTCCATCATTCTTCTTAGCATTGGGATTCATCTTGCCATTGTCCTTGAAGGAAGCATTATCTCTGATATTTTGCTACAATGATTTGCGGTGGTTAGCCAATATACAATCACCTACCGCCACAAAACTGTATTTCTTGCAAAATGACCTTTTCAAATGGCAACGAAAGGGGGAACGTTCCCAA